TATTCGCTCATTTTTTCGCTCATTTTTTTTTCATTTTTCAGCAAGAATTGGATATAAACAATTAATCAAACAATAGAGAGTAATATAGACACATTAAAAGGGGTGTGTAGACCCGACATAACATCCAAAAACTTTTTTATCAAGGCGAATCGGGTTTTCCGGGAGTGCACGCGCCTCTTTGCTCGTTTCCGCTATTTTTTTTCTTTTTGACTAGTAATTGTATGCATATACTGAAACAAACAATAGAGAAATGTTATCCATACATTAGAATAAGCGTGTACTGCCGAAAAAAACACGCGAAAACTTTTTTCTTAGGACCAATCGTGTACTTCCATGAGTACACGCGCCTCTTAGCTTGTTTTTTTTATGATTTTTTTCTTCATTTCGCTGACAATTATATACAAATAATAAAATAAATAGTATAAGAAATACTAAGAACATTTCTTGTGTGTTTTTTGAAAGCAGGAGAGGCAATAGTGGTTCTTACAAGAGGAACAAATCGTGTTTACTCTTGGGGCATGATTGCGAGCGTGAGTTGTGCCGTGTGCCTTTGCCAAAGATCTGTAACAGCCTATACATCGTCTAGAAGGTTTTCTTCCTGAACCATCGGGTTTGCACAGATAATGTTTCTTTCTTTTGAGGGGATTCTTCGATAATAGCTCCCTTACGATGTCCTTCTTGAACTCTGTGATGGGTAAACTACATCTCCTGTGCTGTTTCATAAGAGTCCAGGCATTCGTGACAGCACATTGGCAAACAAGATGGAAGAAAATTCTCAGGTACCACTTGTAAGTCTTCCTCTGGAAGGGGCAGTAACTGGCCATCTGGTCCGACAAGTCAATAAAGGATTTCCCCGCGTTGTAGTCTATAACCACCTCAGGTTTGCCTGCATCATTTCTTGTGGCATCGTGCTTTGTTGAAATCATGATGACGTCTCTTTTATCTCTTCCACTTCATAACCATAATTCCATTTTTCTGTTGAGCGAAGACCTCCTTCTTCTTGAGACGACGATCGACGACATCAGGCGGGTTTCCTTTTCTGTTGCGTCTCAAAGTCCCCACAAGATTTGTGGACATACTGAGCAGGTTC